CTAGTGCTTAGCTCATATCTCTTGGTTCTGGTGTAGACTATAATACATGCATATTCTCTATTCTTCAAGTTTCCTGTACTTATATCTGAAACACTATCACACTTGTTAGAAATAACAACATGTATTATATTTGTCTCATTCAAAACCTTGCTTAGAATTACTTTCGTCTTTGTCTGACTTAACAACAACCCTATTCGCATGTGGTAAACCAATAATCATGTAGATAATAAGTGTTTAAATCGTTAATAAAACAAAAGGGGTAAAGATTTAATTATAATTGTTATTATACTAAATTTATCATAGGGTACCGAGTTAGGATGTTATGGGTGCCTAATACCTTCCCCACACATAATCGACCCCCAAATCTGATTCTGGATATGAAGGCCATAATTAATTTTTGAAAACTCTCTTCTTTTTCCAATGCTTTGAATAAAATATCAGTGGCAACTCCTTTGCATGGAAGCTGTACTCAATTTTATAGACATATCCTTAACCGAGGGGGTCCTTGATGGGGAAGCCTTTATTAATTTTATAGAAACATCCTTAATTGAGGGGGGTCTTTAGTAGGGAAGCCTTGCTTAATTTTATGGGCACACCTTTAATCAAGGGGGTCCTCGGTAGGGAAGCCTTGTCCAAAATCCTTGCATATACACACAAAAATTGATATCAAAGAACCTGGTCAACAAAAAAGATGTTCCACATGTATGAATGTTGACCATACTAAGAAAAAGTGACCTTATCTGGTGGGATTTGATGAAGTCATTGGGTAAAATTTTCATTGTTTGGTTCTTCCCTTAAGTTATTATAGTAGTTATTGAATGTAGCTCTAACACATACCATATTGTGCAGAATTTAAACCATACAAAATCCTTAACTAAAAAAAAAATTGATGAAACTAATTATATTGATTGTATGAATAAAGAAAAAATTACAAACCAATGTTAATTATTTGTTTTCTTGTCCTTGCATTTTTTAATTACCTCATTAAATTTTGTCCAATGTATCATCAAACACATGTACAAAATTCTCTAATGTCCACCCATTGTCAGATCATGAGTACGCACTCATAATTGACTCATGCCTATCTAATATCAAGCAAAGACCATTTTGTTGTACCTTTCAATTTTTTTTTATTAATTTTGATTTAAAGTCAATTTTACCAATTTCATATGATGTTCCAAATCTTGTTTTTATAAAATTTCATTTGTTGACTTTTATAATATATATTTATCTATTTATTTAAATTATTGCCTTAAAAAATGTTAATATATAAATAATTTATATATTTGACATTAACAATATATTTGTTGGTATTGTAAATACAATATTTTATTAATGGCTTTTACTGGACTATTATACAATTTTATTACTGTACTACCCACATCGGTACCAAGGCCCACCTCAGCACCTCGGCGGTCGGGCCTCATTGGATTATCAAATCAGACCGTTCCCTAACCAATAAGATAAACTGATAAGATCACAATCTTATCAAATCGTAGCCAAACCCATTATCACTTATACGAAAACCCTAATCTACACCAAGGTACGTGCAATATATATATGAGACTTACACACCCACAAAAACTAACTTAAGCATTGGAGTCTCTTTTGCAGGTACCAACCCCATCCCGGAGCAGCAAGCGTACCGAGCAGAGGAGGCTCACCGATCTTACCCAGAGATCGTCTCACCCACCGATCTCAGGAAAGAACAGTTTGGCGCCCACCTTGGGGCCGAAGAAAAAATTCCCTTCGGTCGCAACAATGGTTTCCACCCGCAACAACAGGCCGCCCACCAATGCTTCGAACAACGGGCCCAACATGGACGGAGCCACCACTGTTGAGACCTTGGTCGAACAGATCAAAATCCTGCGACAACAAAATGCCTCCGCCATAGCTGCCATGCGCACACAATACGAAGCTGACATCGCAACTTTGCGAGCCGAGAACAAGCGAATCCGAGCGCAAATTCCTTGACGACCACAATTAGATGATCCCCCCGAGGACGAGCACCAATCGCCCTCCCCACCTTGGACAAATCGATCACATGCCCCAACACTGTGCAGAACTGCGAACATCAACCACAGGCCATTCCAGACCTCGGGTCCAAGGATTGGCACGAGATGACACCCTTTCATCGATGGCATTGTAATGCCATGGAAATAGCGAGCTATTTGATAGATATACTTTATATTATATATATGTATGTATGTAAGTATGTATATGTTGTCTATATGGATTTGGATTGGATTATGGAGGTGTGGATTTGAAATGTACTTATCTTTGTGCATGTTGTATAATTATGTGGTTTTGATTAGTTGTTTGGACATAGTAGTGATTTTATAGTATGAGATGAGAGGTTTATATAGGCATGTGTATCATGAATGTGGTGAATGATGCATTGTACACCATTATACTGAATTGGTACTAAGAGGGAACAAGACTGATCACCTTCCTTCTCATCTTAGTTAAGTGAAGTATTATGACATGAAACTCATTATTCCAAGCATATGTATCTGAAAGTGATGTTTGTTTGCATGTTAATACATGTTGCATTTCATATGTGGTGAGTTGTGAGTATTGCATGGAAAGGAATAAGATGGGTAGGAGATTAAAGGATAGGAACATAAGATAAATCTGGTCTTTTTGAGTGAATATGAGGTTGTTTTAGAGCTTAGGGAGTTGAAATACTTCAAGGAATAGGATATTTGAGGTGAATAGGTGCTAAGGGTGAAATTTGGAAATTTTGGAAAATGGCTATATATAGGGGCTTAGGACCAGAGGATTTCATTTGTCAGCAACAAACAATTTCTAGAGAGAGGAAGTAGAGAGAGAAGCTCTGTTCTAGAGGGAAGCTGAGGATACATTTTGGAAGTTTATCAAGCCGGGATCAATCTTCACAACTGGAGTTTCAGGAAATTTGGTCTGTAAATCCTTGAAAAATGGGATCGAAGTTTGAGTTGGATTTGAGGATTTTGTTCAAACCTTGCATTTTTTAGGTTTTTAAGTTAAGGGTAGTACTTATAAGACTTAATCTAGTATGTATGGAGTTGAAATATCACATTGATTCCATGTTGTATGCATGATTGAGGCTGGATTGAGCTAGAGAGGGTTTGGTTAGGGTTCTTCATGATTTCCTACAATTTTCATGGACTAATGGTTAATACTTGTTTTTATCACTTAATATGTTGTTTTTGGATGGTGTTTATACTCTATAATGGTTCAGAATTGTATAAATTTGGTTTGGGATTCATTTGGGATGGATTTTGGGGGTGAAAATCGGAGTTTTCGAACTTCTGACGCGCTGTTTGATGCATGCGCGCTGAGCACACTAAAGAACAGAAAATTCTGTCAGAATGCGAACTGAGCGCACGCGACAACGCTCTAAGCGCATTGAAGAATAGAGCTTTCTATCTAGAGCATGCTGAGCGCATTTAGCCATGGGCTGAGCACATTTTGAAATGGGCTGAGCGCACGGGTCTACGTATTGAGCGCATATAGTCATAGGCTGAGCGCACGTGGTGACTGGCTGAGCGGGCAAAGCCTGATAGGCTCCCAGTTTTAGTTGCGTTGGGCGCAAATACCACTGCGCTGGGCATGTGGTTTCTTTGAGGAAAACCTTTTAAAATTGGGTTTTTATGAAACTTTTAAATGTTGAATCATATCATCTTTGATGTTATATATTTGGTATGGAATGTGGCATGGTTTTGGAAAAGATTGCATGTAATTATGGAATGTGCTTATGTGTGTTTAGTTTGGAAAGCTAATAGGACTTAGAGGAGTAAGGTTATGGTATGGATTGGGAGATCTCTTGGTGAGATCTGGATATAATCTTTGGGAAAATATGGAATTTGGGGGTCCCATGGTGAGGATCCCAATATGGAACATTTCCAAAGATTATATAATAAACCACTTCAGATGTTAGGTGGATTCTGAAGTACTCCTCTAAGTATTCTATTTGCTACCGGTATGAGGACAAGGCCAAGTCATACCGATGAATGAAGTGGCCACGATCACCAGGGTTACGTGACGGCGTAACCCAACTGTATATTTTCCATGAGAGGTTAGGTGTGTGACATGGGCAGGTGACATGTTCACGAATTGAACATTTGGTTTGGATGTGTTGAGGTCAAAATTTGGTTAAGATGTGTTGGCTACTTCATGGGATTATACAGTGGTGTGACTTTGGTTTGGATGTGGAATATGTATGCATTTGGTATGGATTGTATACATTGGTTATGGATTCTTTATTATCATAGAATATGTATCCATTGGCATGGATGTGTATACATTTTGAAATTGGATTGGTTTATATTTGGCATGGAAATGACTTGTTATAATGTTGTCATCCCCTTGGTATGGATACATACTGTTGATGAATATCTAGTTTAATGATATTTCATTTTATTGTACTATGGTTGGTTTTATATGTGCTAACCCTTATATTTCCATGATGTGGACTGTGATGATCTCACTATGTGGGGGAGCAGATCAGGTGTGAGGCTTTGGGATGTGGGGCATCAGAGAAGGTGTGAGGCTTTGGGATGGCAAGGAGTCTTTTGGGTAGCTGCATTGAGAAGTAGCTAGACTTAGAGCTTGACCAGCACCTAGGGTGTCTTATTTTGATACTTTCACGATGTTGTAATTATATTATCTTTTTGGATGACTATATAACCTTGCTGAAGATGACTCTTTTATAAAATTATGTTTTATATGATGAAAAAAATTTATACATTATTGTATATTTACACTCTAGTGTAGCTGGCCTTTGCTCTATTTTCTTTAATATATATTATTTTATTTTATTTGTCATATTGGTTGTTGATGTGATGGCCTACGGCGGGTCGTTACACTTGTTGGTATCAGAGCTGGTTAAGTCTCTTTAGGGTTTGTGGGAAATGGTCTTGTTATGTTTCTATTGTGAGGAAATGGATTTTGAAAAGGAATTTCTTATGTGTTTTAGTGTAAACTCATGGGTTCCTTGATTTTTTATCTTAATTAGGATGGTTATTAGGGGAAACCATTCTAATCCTTCTTCAAGCGTGGATGAGCGACAAATTGCTCAGGCTATGGAGCTGATTGCTGCTGCTATTGGACAACAAAATACTTTGTTAGCTCAAATGCGGACCAACTGGGCTATAGTTGAAGCAGCTAGGACTGAGGTACTTGATGAGTACAGGGGTTTGTCAGAGTTCAAAAAAGGGAATCCTCCTTAATTTATAGGTGTTGATGGACTTGAAGTTGCTGACCAGTGGATTGAGGAGATGGATAAAATTTTCATGGTGATGCATTGTCCAGAGGAGAGGAAGCTAGTTTATGTTGTTTATATGCTGATGGGTGAGGCTAGTTTCTGGTGGAAAGGTGCTCAAGCTATGATGGAGGCTAGAGGGGAAACAGTAAATTGGGAGAACTTCAAAAAGGTGTTTTTAGAGAAATATTTTCCAGATAGCGCTAAATATGCTAAGGAAGGTAAATTTTTGAGACTACAGCAAGGGAATATGTCAGTACAAGAGTATGTGGTCAAGTTTGAACACTTGGCTAGGTACTATTCTCAAGCTATCACTGAAGGCTAGAGATGTAGGAAGTTTAGTGAGAGTTTAAGGTATGAGTTCAAAAAGACTATTGTTCCTATGGGAATTGTGGTGTACCCAGTTCTAGTTGAAAAGGGAAAAATAGTTGAAAGATTTGAAGGAGGAAATAAAGTGACAAAGGGTTCAGAAGGGTCATCTGGATTTGGTAGGGGAAAGCATTCACAAAAGAGACCATCTCAGTTTCAGAAGGGGAATGCTAATAAGAAACCAATGGGGACTACTACCACAGGAACTGTTCAGAGTTTCAGTTATAGATGTGGAGGCCTACACATGATGAGAGATTGTCATACAAAGGACTATGTGTGTTTTAAATGTGGCAAGGTGGGTCACATGGCTAAGGATTGCAATGTAAGAAATACTCGAGTTAGAGGGAACCGAAAGGTGGATCGGCCTACTGCAGCAGGTCGTGTTTTTGCTTTATCAGGTGCTGAAGCTGAAACATCATCTGAATTGGTAAAGGGAAAGGGCAAAGATAATGGTAATGATATTTCTATTCTATTTGATTCTGGTGCTTCACATTCTCCTATTTCTTATGAATGTGTTGCGAGGTTAAATTTGGTTGTGAGTTCCTTGTGTAATGATCTAGTCATTTCTACCCCAGCTTCAGGGTCTATTTTGACTTATGAGGTTTATTTGAGATGTCCAGTGGAGGTGGAAGGTCGTTTTTATAGAGTGAATTTGTTTTGTTTACCTTTAGCTGATTTGGATGTGATTTTAGGGATGGATTGGCTTTCTGCCAATAGGATTTTGATAGATTGTTCAGAGAGGCGATTGATCTTTCCAACTGTTAAACAGGAGAGATTTATTTCTAGTGGATAGGTGGATGGTTTGTTGAAGGGTGGAGCTCTTGGGTTTATGATCTTATCTTTTATCAGTTTAGAGAATGAAAAATTGTTGAATAGTATTCATGTTGTTAGAGATTTCCCAGAGGTTTTTCTGGATGACGTACTGGGGTTACCACCAAAGCGAGAGTTGGAGTTTAGTATTGATCTAATGCCAGGAGCAGGACCAGTGTCCATTTCTCCTTATAGAATGGCACCAATAGAGTTGTCTGAATTGAAGAAGCAGGTTGAGGAACTTTTGGAAAAGCAGATGATCAGACCTAGTGTGTCTGCATGGGGAGCACTTGTGTTATTGGTAAAGAAGAAGGATAGTGGTGTGAGGTTATGTGTGGATTACAGGAAGTTAAATAAGTTGACAATCAAGAATAAGTATCCATTGCCAAGGATAGATGATTTGATGGATCAATTGAGGGGAGCTTTTGTTTTCTCCAAGATTGATTTGAGGTCTGGGTATCACCAGATTTGGGTAAAGAAGGAGGACATACCGAAGACTACTTTCAGGACTCGGTATGGCCATTATGAGTATGTCGTTATGCCTTCTGGAGTGATGAATGCTCCAGCTATTTTCGTGGATTATATGAACAAGATTTTCAGACCCTTTCTAGATAAGTTTATTGTTGTATTCATTGATGACATTTTGGTTTATTCTGGATCTATGGAAGAACATAGAGAACATTTGAGGATAGTTTTGCAGGTATTGAAGGAGAAATAGTTGTTTGCAAAGCTGTCAAAATGTGAGTTTTGGCTATCTAAAGTTAAGTTCTTGTGTCATGTGATTTCTGCACAAGGAATTGTAGTTGATCCTACTATGGGGGAAGCAGTTTTGGGGTGGGTGCGTCCGAAATCAGTTACTGAAGTTAGAGGTTTTGTGATATTGGCTGGCTATTATAGGAGATTCATAGAAGGGTTTTCTAAAATAGTTATGCCTTTGACACAGCTGACCAGGAAGGATCATCCTTTTGTATGGACGGAGGAGTGCGAGAAGAGTTTTCAAGAGTTAAAGGAAAAGTTGACGTCATCTCCTGTGTTGATTCTGCCAGATCCCAATAAATCTTTTGAGGTTTATTGTGATGCATCTCATCAAGGTTTAGGATGTGTTCTTATGCAAGATAGGCAGGTTGTGGCTTATGCATCTAGGCAGTTAAAGATTCATGAACGAAATTATCCTACGCATGATCTAGAGTTGGCTGCGGTGGTTTTTGCTTTGAAGATTTGGAGACATTATCTCTATGGAGCAAAGTTTGATGTGTTCAGTGATCATAAGAGTCTAAAATATTTGTTTGATCAGAAAGAGTTAAATATGAGGCAAAGGAGGTGGATTGAGTTTTTGAAAGATTATGACTTTCAGTTAATGTACCATCCAGGTAAAGCAAATGTGGTGGCAGATGCTTTGAGTAGAAAATCTCTTCATATGTCTTACATGATGGTTAAAGAGATGGAGTTAGTAGAGAAATTCAGGGATATGAATCTTAATGTTGTGATTGCCTCAGATTTTATTAGTTGTGGTATGACTACCATTACTAGTGATTTCTTGGAGATGGTGAAACAAAAACAAGTTCAGGATGCGAGTTTGAATAAGGTTAGAGAGTTGTTAGGTTCTGAGAAAGTTGAAGGATTTGAACAAGATATGGATGGAGTTATGAGATACAAGGGAAGAATTTGTATTCCACAAGATGAAGAGTTGAAGAAGTTGATTTCTTGATCTTCGTTTGTGTATCCGAGTCTTCATCTGATATATTCCCTTCATTTGATCACCCTTTATCTAGTGCTTAGCTCATATCTCTTGGTTCTGGTGTAGACTATAATACATGCATATTCTCTATTCTTCAAGTTTCCTGTACTTATATCTGAAACACTATCACACTTGTTAGAAATAACAACATGTATTATATTTGTCTCATTCAAAACCTTGCTTAGAATTACTTTCGTCTTTGTCTGACTTAACAACAACCCTATTCGCATGTGGTAAACCAATAATCATGTAGATAATAAGTGTTTAAATCGTTAATAAAACAAAAGGGGTAAAGATTTAATTATAATTGTTATTATACTAAATTTATCATAGGGTACCGAGTTAGGATGTTATGGGTGCCTAATACCTTCCCCACACATAATCGACCCCCAAATCTGATTCTGGATATGAAGGCCATAATTAATTTTTGAAAACTCTCTTCTTTTTCCAATGCTTTGAATAAAATATCAGTGGCAACTCCTTTGCATGGAAGCTGTACTCAATTTTATAGACATATCCTTAACCGAGGGGGTCCTTGATGGGGAAGCCTTTATTAATTTTATAGAAACATCCTTAATTGAGGGGGGTCTTTAGTAGGGAAGCCTTGCTTAATTTTATGGGCACACCTTTAATCAAGGGGGTCCTCGGTAGGGAAGCCTTGTCCAAAATCCTTGCATATACACACAAAAATTGATATCAAAGAACCTGGTCAACAAAAAAGATGTTCCACATGTATGAATGTTGACCATACTAAGAAAAAGTGACCTTATCTGGTGGGATTTGATGAAGTCATTGGGTAAAATTTTCATTGTTTGGTTCTTCCCTTAAGTTATTATAGTAGTTATTGAATGTAGCTCTAACACATACCATATTGTGCAGAATTTAAACCATACAAAATCCTTAACTAAAAAAAAAATTGATGAAACTAATTATATTGATTGTATGAATAAAGAAAAAATTACAAACCAATGTTAATTATTTGTTTTCTTGTCCTTGCATTTTTTAATTACCTCATTAAATTTTGTCCAATGTATCATCAAACACATGTACAAAATTCTCTAATGTCCACCCATTGTCAGATCATGAGTACGCACTCATAATTGACTCATGCCTATCTAATATCAAGCAAAGACCATTTTGTTGTACCTTTCAATTTTTTTTTATTAATTTTGATTTAAAGTCAATTTTACCAATTTCATATGATGTTCCAAATCTTGTTTTTATAAAATTTCATTTGTTGACTTTTATAATATATATTTATCTATTTATTTAAATTATTGCCTTAAAAAATGTTAATATATAAATAATTTATATATTTGACATTAACAATATATTTGTTGGTATTGTAAATACAATATTTTATTAATGGCTTTTACTGGACTATTATACAATTTTATTACTGTACTACCCACATCGGTACCAAGCTATCACACTTGTTAGAAATAACAACATGTATTATATTTGTCTCATTCAAAACCTTGCTTAGAATTACTTTCGTCTTTGTCTGACTTAACAACAACCCTATTCGCATGTGGTAAACCAATAATCATGTAGATAATAAGTGTTTAAATCGTTAATAAAACAAAAGGGGTAAAGATTTAATTATAATTGTTATTATACTAAATTTATCATAGGGTACCGAGTTAGGATGTTATGGGTGCCTAATACCTTCCCCACACATAATCGACCCCCAAATCTGATTCTGGATATGAAGGCCATAATTAATTTTTGAAAACTCTCTTCTTTTTCCAATGCTTTGAATAAAATATCAGTGGCAACTCCTTTGCATGGAAGCTGTACTCAATTTTATAGACATATCCTTAACCGAGGGGGTCCTTGATGGGGAAGCCTTTATTAATTTTATAGAAACATCCTTAATTGAGGGGGGTCTTTAGTAGGGAAGCCTTGCTTAATTTTATGGGCACACCTTTAATCAAGGGGGTCCTCGGTAGGGAAGCCTTGTCCAAAATCCTTGCATATACACACAAAAATTGATATCAAAGAACCTGGTCAACAAAAAAGATGTTCCACATGTATGAATGTTGACCATACTAAGAAAAAGTGACCTTATCTGGTGGGATTTGATGAAGTCATTGGGTAAAATTTTCATTGTTTGGTTCTTCCCTTAAGTTATTATAGTAGTTATTGAATGTAGCTCTAACACATACCATATTGTGCAGAATTTAAACCATACAAAATCCTTAACTAAAAAAAAAATTTGGTAGCAACACGCCGCCGACCTACAAAACATGCGTGCCAAGCACGACACTAACCTAGCGGCAATGCGTACCGCTAATGAGGCTGACCTAGCAGCGCTACGCGTCGAGAACGAGCGAATCCGCGCTCAACTCCCTCGACACCACTCCAATCATCCTCCTCATACGAGCAACCATAATGGGGAGGAGGAG